TGTTCCAGCCCACTGAGATTTGCTGAAAACGTTTAGCTCAACACTTATAATCAACAGTTCAAAATTAGCTTTGCCAGTATGCAAACTGGCAGGCTGAGCACCTCCTTCTCCAGCTGTGACTCCCCATCAGCTTCAACAATAATTAGAAATGAAAAAAAAAAATCCTCATTGGCTCCAAGGTAAAGGTTTCCCCCAAATCTAAGTACCGCAGGGGAGAGGGGAGAGGAAGGCCAGTTTCTTGTTCCTGGCCCAACGCTGAATTGGTCACTTGTTTATTTATTTTATTTTATTTATTTATTTTGTCAAGCATGTATTAGATAATAATTATATATATAAACATGATTATGGATCTTTGGTTGTTCGGGTTTTCTCCCGCATAAGATTCGAAGTATCTAGGCAACGTTTCGATGAAGTCTCATTCATCATCTTCAGGCTTCTGTCTCCGACTCTGTGCTTCTCAGAGTAATGTGAGATTGCAGCTGCTTCCTCCTTTTAACTGCCAGTGGGGGTGGGACTTGATTGGGTGGGGGCTTGGCTGTGTTCTGATTGGGTGGGGGTGTGTTCTCATTGGTAGGGGGTTTGGCTGTGTTCTGATTGGTTGGGGGGTTAGCCGTGTTCTGATTGGTTGGAGGCGTGTTCTGTTCAGGTGGGGGCTTGGTTGTGCTCAGGTTAGTCTTACTTGCTGGGGGATTTGAGCTGGTGAGTTGTGATCTTGCTGTTTGGCTTTGAGTTCGTGGTCCTGCTGCATCTTCATAGTGGGTGTCGGTTTGCTTCATGTATGGCTCAACATGATTATTAATACATGAAATGGATACAAATAAAAGGGATCATTAGGACAGGGACGGTAGGCATGTTGGTGCGCTTATGCATGCCCCTTACAGACCTCTTAGGAATGGGGTGAGGTCAACAGTAGACAGTCTGAGGTTAAAGTTTTTGGGGTTTGGGGAAGAAACCACAGACTGAGTAGAGTATTCCAGGCATTGACCACTCTGCTGCTGAAGTCGAATTTCCTGCAGTCAAGTTTGGTGCGGTTTTTCCTTGAGTTTGTATCTATTGTGTACTCTTGTATTGTTGTGGTTGAAGCTGAAGTAGTTATTGATGGGTAGGACATTGCAATGGATAATTTTATGTACTACACTTAGGTCAGACCAAAGGCGGCATAGTTCTAAGTTGTCTAAGCCTAAAATTTCAACTCTGGTGGCATAAGGTATTCTGTTGTGAATAGCGGAGTGGAGAACTCTTCTTGTGCAATATCTCTGGACTCTCTTGATTGTATTAATGTCCGATATGCAATGCAGATTTCAGACAGATGAGCTGTATTCGAGAATTGGTCTAGCAAATGTTTGGATGCTCTAGTTAATAGTACAATATTACCAGAGAAAATGTTACGCAGAACTAGGTTTACAACTCTTAATGCCTTTTTAGCTGTGTTGTTACAATGGGCTCTAGCACTTAGATCATTAGAGATGAGTACTCCAGGGTCCTTGACAGAGTGGGGGTCTTCTATAAGGTCATGTCCATTTAGTTTGTATTTTATTTTCTGGGTTTTTTTGCCAATACGTAAGACAGAGCATTTGTTTGTTGAGATTTGAAGTTGCCAATTGTTTGACCATTCTGACACATAGTCAAGGTCTTTTTGAAGGGTAGCAGTGTTGTTGTTGGTGTTGAATAGTTTTACATCATCAGTGAATGCAGTTGCTTTTAATATGATCACAAAGGTCATTTATGTAAAGTATAAAGAATGTTGGTCCTAAAACGCTGCCTTGGGGGACTTCGCAGTTAACAGGTAAGGATATGACCACTTGTTGCCTGTTTGACAGGATCCAATGATGCAGGGGTCCAGAAATGCCATAAGATTTTAGTTTTAGAAGTAGTTTGTCATGTACAACTGAATCAAAGGCTTTACAGAAGTTTATGTAAATTGCGCCTATTGCTTTGCCCTCATCGAGTTGTGTGGTCCATGTTTTTTTAATGTAGGAGTTGCAGATTGATTACAGGATAACTTTTTTCTGAAACCAAATTGTTTGTTAGAGAGTAGGCTATTTGTTTCTAAGTGGAGAATAATGGATTGGTTAATAATTAATTCCATGACTTTGCAGGTAACACAACATAAAGAGATTGGTCTGTAATTTTCAACCTAGGCTGGGGTCTCTCTTTTTGAAGATGGGGGATGACCGTGGCTTGCGACCATAGGTTGGGCAAGGAGCTTGTCCTGAAATATTTTTTGAAGATTATGCTTAGAGGTTCTACTATGGCAGTGGAAAGCTTTTTTAAGAAGTAGGCACGTAGTCCATGGGGTTCAATAGATAGAGATGGTTTTAGATTGTGTAGTGCTTTTTTGACATTATCTTCTGTAAAATTGATAGGTATTAGATCGTTCTAATTGCCTGCGGTTCGACTATGAAATATTGGGCATGAACCATTGCTGTTTAAAGATTGAGCCAAAGAATGTGTTAAAGAGGTTGGCTTTTATGGTTTCATCATTACGTCCTTTTAGGGGTGGGATGGCTCTCGAATCTTTAAGTTTGTTGTTTACAAACTTACTTCTATGGGGGTCAGAAGCAAGATTAGTCACTGCTTTTTATAGTAAGATTTGACTTCAAGGAACTTAGGATAAAGAAGTAAAATCATGGTGAGTGCCAGTGTCTTTAACAATTCAAGCTATTGCTAATGCAGTGGAATAGAGAGCCAACTGGAGCATATGGCAAATGAGTAACACTAGTTCTGTGAATCTGTCCGGTCACATAGTGAAGTGAAACGTGCAAGGACCTACTAGCTTGCCACATCTCTGCCCACTGAATTGATGTAGACATCTTCAGGAGGGGTGTTGTTCTTATGTCTTGCTGTACAAGTTGCCTAATGAAAGACAAGCACATAACTGAAGAATGGATGGATGGATGGGAAAAAAAACCTGCTTTCTGTACATGATTTTTTTTTTGTAGGACACAAAGCTTCACATATTAGTTCTTAGTTACATACCTTGCCTATATTTATGTTTTGCATTTATTCTATATCTATACATGGTGGGATTTCTAATATAACTGAATGAAATGCAAATTTATTTATCACATTTCAAGGCTGCCTGACTCCAGGAAGCTTACAATTAAAAAGTTCAATCATATATAGCCAGAGGCTGTGTTCATAAACTTTCTGTTCATAAATTTTCTGTAAATTTTATACAGAAGCTTGCTGTCCTGATCTTGTCCATGTGCGCTTAAGTTTATTCCAGTGTTTATTATTTATTCACTGTATGCAAATGCATCTTTACAAACCTGTCCAGAGACACTAGATGGGATGGTACTGCTTTAATCAATCAATCAATATCCGTAAACCTTACCCCAGTCCAACTTTATGCAATCTATATTGACCTCTATCTATGCACATAGTTCTCTTGTCCCATACATGGTTCAACCCACTGTGGCTCTTCCACCTTCCACCTGTAGACTGGTTATGCTGATACCCCCCACCCCGGTCTTTTCATATATAGTTAGGCAAATGATGGTTTTTCGACATTCGGCTTCTGCTTTGTAACTCTGCTTGGCAGCAGCTGGCCTGAGATAGATGAGTTAATGGATAAATCTCTGGCATAGCTCTTCTTACTGATGGCGGCGCTGCCTGTTAAACAAGCACATCCTAGCAGTGCAACTCTGCTGCTTACCAGGCTGTTCCCTTCCTTCCTCATCTTCTGCACCAAGAGGAGGTTGTGGGCAGCTGAAGAAGATCAGCTGGGGAAGAAGCAATACACTTTCCTCTTCTTTTCTCTTCCTAAGTCAGGAATGTATTCAGAAGAACTTGAAATGCTTCCTCACAGCTCAAAATCCAAGGCTGGAACCAAGCCAAAACCATAGAATTTAATCCAAACCCAGTCTTCAATATGGTGGTGATGAAAAAGCTAATGTGCAGTGGAGGAATGCAGTTGATACTGTGTGTTTTTGTATACCTAATTTTCTATATATAATAAATAGAAAAGATTTGACCTATTTTAGATATTCACGTTTGGAGGTAGAAGATTATTCTGGGTTGGAGACCACAAAATAGATTTTCGTCTGGTGGCAACCTAAGGATTTTCAAGGGATGCATTGTATCACTGGAAACAATTTTCTGGTGATGCAATACAGGAATATCATTTGAAGAAGTGAGGCTGAACATTTCCAGAGTAATAGTTTGCTTTATCTGGAGATACGGCGAGAATTTAAGAGTAGAGATTAAGAGTGTTATATTTCACAGATGTTTCATGTTCTGATTCCTATCCCAAAACATAATGCCATCCCACAAACAGATAAAAAAACATACTCCCCCCTTCAAATTAAAGTCAAATGTTGGTAGAGTAATCTTAAGGGATTTGGAGAGGACCATTGTGAGAAGGCTATAGGTTGCCCATCCTGATATATAAAGTAGTGCAATAATGTACAGACTCTGTTCTTTTCTTTTGAAGTTGCTCACATCAAAGTGTATAATTTAAATGCCGTAATGTGCAGTGGTTTTTGTATGTATGCCACCCAGCTTCCACAACCACACAATGCTGTTTATTTCCATGCTCGATGAGAGGTAGTATTTCTTCAGATGTTTCCCTGCCCCCCTTTATTTGTTAAGTCTTGGTTTCTGGCTACCAGCCAAGAGGATACAATTCCCTTCAGGCAGCAAATTACTTTCCGTATCTTTTAGAGCAGTGAAAAAAAATTAAATTTCTTTGCTATAGGCCTCTTCCCAGTAAAAAAAAAAATCAGGTGTTCAAGCAGAAAAAAATAATATTCATATTAGCATCATCAACAGCAGCATGGTATTAAGCCATACCATAAGCCACACCATACTTGTTAAGCCATAAGTTTTCTTTTTTTACATACTATTACTAAAATCTGCGTAACATGAACAGTTTTTTTTCCAGACCAAAGCCTCAGCCTGAAATTTATTCATTAGGGAATATTATAGCTGTAACATTTCCAATGTTATACCGTAGTGTAATGATTTAAAGTAGAATGATTTAAATATCAAGACAATCAAATGGTTCAACTGATTTTATTTAGAATGGGTCCAATGCAATTTTCCATTTGGGTTCCACATTTCAGATTCACCCTTTGTATTCCTCAGAACACTATAGGAAGTTTTAAAAATCAGTTTAATATAAGAAGGAATGTGAATCCTTAGTACCTGCTGGACATTTATATACGTTTCTGACACGGGACTCAAATGTACTTGATTTTTATGTTGCCAAAAGGAAATTCAGGCATGCAAATAATCCTAAAGATGCCTCATTAAAAAAAAAAATCTGACTTAGCTTTTGTAACAGGTCTATCATTTCAAGCTGAATACCATGCATTTAAGGTTAAGCCTTCCGCAATCTACTTTTGGCCATTGCAGAAGTGAACAGGAAAATATGCTCACCCTACTGGGAAGATGAGAATTGTTTGGCCACCAGTTCCTTGCAATCTCCCACTTATGGGCTCCTCTAATTTCTACCTGACCTTCATGAGATCAGACCGATTTTAACTGGTGAACAATTGCACTCCACATATCACATAGCTAGCACACTTTGACCAACGGAGTGCTTTTTGTTTTAACTACTAGTCTGTGTGTCTTTGCTTGGATCCTGACTTTTCTTAAAAATGAACATAAGGTCATGTTACAGAGCACAAATGAGGTCTAAAATTCAGCCACAGCAGACCACAGCTCCACAGAAAACACATCTTCAAGGTAAGTTGACCTGCTTGAAAAAAGAGATTAAAAACAGCACAGCAAACATGGATCTTCAATGCACTGTTTCCCTAATTAAATATTAACGGCTTCATTTCACATTTAAATGAATTAAGCATCAATGGATGGAATTTCCACTACCACCAGTTGCTGCTGCTGTGCCATGGGAAAAAGCAGGTGACAATGTGGCTCAGATGGAAGAAGGGGAACATGGTTGACAGGGGCAAGTGATCTCAGCATCTGCACTAAAGTGACGTAAGATGATCCATCGATCATTCACCAGTTTCAAAATATAATCTTCTACAGCATTTCCCTTCCTTTCCTTTGTAAACAGATCTGCTCATAAATAATTTGGATGTCTCCATGACATTCATGATACTTAACAGAAGCTGAAGTAGAAAAGGATGGATGTGGTATACAGCATCGAGAAAATGTCAAAAAGTACTTCGTTTTTGTGGTTGAGTTGTGTTGTTTAGCGTCTGATGAGTGGGTTGCAAGTTGTATCAGCCGTCAGACACGGGAGGAGTGACCCATCCATATTTTTCATGGGTCTTCACCAAGCTCTTAAAAGTTGCTTCAGCTTCCTTACGACTAAAGGACTTTTTAGATTTTCCAGCTTTTCTGCAGATGCGTCCCTGAATGAAAGAAAATAAACAAGAGAAGAAAATTAGGAATCTGGTATTCCAGAGATATTGGCAATAATTTCACAATGTATTAGTTATTGGGGCTTTTCATTTACAAAACTTTTCTTTACCAGAAATTGCATTTGTGTATTATTTTTGCCACAAATTCCTCTAGCAGTTCCACCCCTTATTTTCTATGATTCTGGCTCACTTCTGCTCTTTTTTTCGTTCCTGGAGAAACTGTCAGAAAATGCATGGGAGTACAACTATTTAACACGTTTACTTTCTAAGTGTTCCAGAAAGCTATTATTATAAATAGAAAAGAATGCTAGAGGCTGTTATTTTACTTTGTATTATGCCAGTTTCTTATTTGCATATTTTGAAATCCAAATACATGAAATTGAGTGGAAATGCACCCTGTTGCCTATCCTTTTGTAGACTGCTTTGTGTTGTTACTGCACAATTGTCAAATACTATGTGGAAAGAATCCGAAGCAAACAACACAGTAATTTGGAACTTTAAAAAGCATTTCACCCATATTTCTAAAGAGGCATTAATTCATAGCTCTACCATCTGTCCTGAAAGACTTTAGAGAAAAGATGTCACACCCCCAACAGTCATCTCCAGGCCTTTGCTTCAATGTCACTATTTTCTGCCCACCTAACACCCATGTTACATCTGCTAGTAACCCACTCAACATTATTCCTCCCTTGAAAAGCAAGAATAAGGGGTAATAAAAGCATTATCCCCTTCTTTCTCCTTCAAAATTGTATTTGGAAAAGGAACAAGTCTTTAAAATACACTATCTTCTAATTCTGTGTGCAAATGCTGGCAGTGTGTGTGAAGATTTCTTAAACTGTAATGTTGGCTTCTTAAAATGTTGGCCATTTTTAAAGGTCAGTGTCAGACAGTTTTATCTTGGAAATGGAAGATTCTATGCAAAAGACCCACAATTGAAATGATAACACCATCAAAAAGACAATCTTTATTCTTTGCACTTTCTTCATCCCTCGATAGCTTTGTAAGCCATAGCTGAATTTCTAAGCTAGGCTAAATAACTTTTTTTTTTGGGGGGGGGGGGTAAATTAGGAAGTAGAAGCAGAGCTCTTCTGTGAGTTTGGAATGTCTTCCTTTAAATAAATAAAGTGGGCAGTGCAAAAAATCATTTTTTGCAGTGTGAAGGACGAAATCTATTTTACTGAAGCTTGGTCAACTTTCTTCATGTTTTCTTCATATGATATGGCAATGGCTTGCAACCTCCTTTTTTCAGGATTTTAAAAATGTTCTTGGACCTTCCAGATGGGGTTTATTCTACTACTAATGAAAGCCAACCTGCTTAGCATTCTTGATCAGCTAAAGTCAGACAGATGCCACCATTTGGTTCATCAACCGAAACATTAAGAATATAATTCTTAATCTTTATATTCAATGTTTCGGTTCATCAACCGAAACATTGAATATAAAGATTAAGAACACCCAAATATGAGATGCAGAATACACAACTTTTTTTTTCTGTAGAGAGGAGTATCTTAAAAACACTAGACTGAACTCAGCAAATCCCAACAACATTGATTATAGTATGATAACTATACCATTCTAAAGTCTTATTTTGTTTTTCTATACAATTTTAAATAGGTCATAGCAGGAAACAGCACCTGGCTAACCTTGTTTGGATTCTGAAACAGCAGTAGGGCCTTTTTAATATTTGGGTGGAAGATTTCCAGAGAATATAAAAATTGTAGACTGAGAAGTTAAACAATCATCCTGGACAAAGGCAATGGAAAAGTGCTTCTTGGGCATGTCCATGAAGTCAAGGAGTCAAGCTTTATATAAAGCAAACTTTATTTAATATATGTATGCTACTTTGGTCTTATATGCCACTTCAAAAGAAACCTCAAACTGCTGTTTGCTAGAATGCAAGGATTTTATAATGACCTCGGGCATCAGAGGACTACAGTATCCAGAATTCCCCTAGAAAATATTATCCTTAGGTCTAAGGTGCAGTCATGGCTAGTAAATCTATTACAAAGGAGAGATGTTCAGGGACATGAATTTCAGAAAGGACAGAATTAGGAGGCAAAGAGAAGGGACAAGTAAACAAACAAAGAAATAAAGAGTGTAAGACAAAGTTGACAGCCAGTTTATTCAACCAGCAAATTGGAAATGTCACATACACATGCACACGAAAGTACTATCTGTATGAGGCAAGATCCCACAGGAAGTATAGTGGAGAAAATACATCGAACAAACGAAATGGGAGACTGCTCCTCTCAGCTCCATCTTTTGGGCTATGACCAGGGTCAAACCCAGTTCACCTCTGCTCAATCCCATCAAACTCAAAATTGACCTTCCCCAGCACTGTAGTTTTAGTTTAACAGAAGCCTGTAGAAACTCTGAACTTATGAAACCACTTGGTTTCTGTTTGCTTCTCTGTATCCTAGGATCTCTATGGATCTTTTCCAACTATTAAATTATTATCCACACATACTTCAATTGGCAGAAGGCATGAAACTGCTGTTCCTCATTGTGAATCTGTACCGTTTCTTCCCAGTCACATTCCCCCAGCACCTCCATCGGGAAATGAAGCCTCATAGATATACCCTCCTTAAGGTTGTGCTTAAGGGGTTGGACAGGTTGGGAATAAGGGGGAAAATACTAGTTTAGTCACAGTTCATTTTATGATAAACTAAGGCTGTTTCCTAAAGGGCTGGAGATGACATCATGGAAATGTGGGTGAAAATTCCTGTTGTCAAGGAGCGTCTGTGTTGTGGGTAGATGGAAGTGGGGACACGGCCGAAAAGTGACTCAGAATGTGCAATGAAATGAATGAGGACTGGTGTTTGAATATTAACACCTCTTCTACCTATCTCCTCTCCTAGGTGAAAAGAGAGAGACTCAATAAGGAAGCAAACAATGGCTTGGGTGTAGAATTGGACTGAACTGATTAGATATAGAAGGGATCTGAGAGAAAAGGAATGGTACTATGGAAAACTGCTTTCACATTCTCTATCTTTGGGGACCTTCAGAGAGAAATTGGCTGCCCCATAAACAAATGCTATGAACTTCCTAAAATTGTTTACCATACAGAAATGACTTGCTTTAACCATGCCAGGCCATACATAATCCTAGACTAAAAACACTGTGTTTACCAGCAATACTGAATGATCCAATTCCAACTTCATACTAGGACAAAATCAAACAAACCCCATCAAAAGTGACAAATGCTTCAAAGAACTTGTCATCCTCCTTGAAATTGCCATTTATACTCAGTGGGGGGGAAATAATCACTTTATTATAATTGCTTGTTCATGGCACCTGCAGTTGGCTTTGTTTTTCAAAGCAGTGGCTGGAGTAACTGATCTCTGTTCTTATGACCTATTTGATTGGCTGGAAATATTCTGGCTTTGTGAAAGTATCTTTCTCACCAAACTGCGAATTAATCTGCAATGAAAAGCATGCTGATTGGAGGAAAAGCTCACCAGTGCTCAGGAGAATTTTAAATATACTGACTTTACTGCTTATATGGTCTTAGTATCATAAAGTTCTTCATGAAAAGTGTTTGTTTCACAAAAGACAAGTGTTGGCTTTTCTGTATGGTTTTATATCCTGCCCATCAAGCAGTTCAAAAGCATGCAACTGCAAATAGATAAATAGGTACCACTATGATGGGAAAGTAACAGCATTTTGTGCACTGTTCCTTATCATGCTGGCCACATGACTACGGAAAGGATCTTCCGGACAATGTTGGCTCCCTTGGCTAAGAAACAGAGATGAACACTGCCCCCTAGAGTTGGGCACAACTGGACAGGGGAAAACTTTACCTATGGTCTTATAAATTCCCTGCTCTCTGCTGAAGAAATTATTATTTTTTTAGATTTCTGTTTAGGCATAATGAAGCAGTAAGATTTTGATAACAAAACACTATGCGGATAAGAAAAGACCTGGGCTTCAGTATTTAATCCTTGAAAATAAAGGACCATATAGCTCAGAAAAAGTCCCTTCTTGATACTTCTTGAGCAGCTCACACATATACACTTAGATATATACTGGAACCAGAAAGCTGGCTTCATTTATTATCTTGGTTTTCAATTTCTCTAATCTCATTAGTTTGAATATGAAACTCTCTTGGCAATTCTGCTCATGAGCTCAAATTCCAGGCCATAGGATATCTTCTATAGCATTCACTGGGAGCAATTTCTCTGGTTTACTCTCACTGCTTCCCCCTTATGAATCTATTCCTAGAACTCACATGGCAAGGCAGTTCCTGCAGAAATGGTCCCACTGCATCCAATTTGCAATAATAAGGTGGAAGTGTTTTTGTCTTTGCTCTCCCCCAACTTCCCTTCCCTCAGCAGGTTATTCCTAGGATGTTGTGAGTTGTACTACTCTAAAACTCCCAGTGTTATTGCATCAAGGCCCATGCATTAAGCAAACCACCTGCAATTTTCCGGGATAGCTGACAACAGCTAAATATTCACATTTAAGTACTGTTGAATGCATAATTAAATTAAAAAAGAATAAACATTAAAATTTCCAGTATGTTAATTATTTAAAAGTTACCTGAAAAGGAGAATTCCATAAAACCAGAATTGCTTATTTGGTCCTGTCAGACTTTGAGTCCTCTGATATTTAAAGTAAATTGGGAATCTTAAATTCTATGGTGATTTCTGACTTGATTTCAGCATTGACTTGATTTCCCCACCCCCCATTACCCGAACATGTTCAAAATAAGGTAAGGCATATATAAACGAGGGCCGACAGATTATCATTAAAAAAATGATAACAGATAAAATGAGATTGAAACCATTGTTTGCAACAATCTGAGCTATCAATTCAGAAACCAGGGTTAGAAAAGTAGGTATTTAACAAAAACATGAAAAGCAAAGGGTAAATCTAAAGCAGCAGTCTCCAACCTTTCTGACCTGGTGGCCCAGCGCATGGGGGGGGGAGGGGATTACTCTATGCAAGTTGTAGGTGCATGCACACATGCGCACAGCTTCATTTGTGCGAGT